TAGAAGTCTCATGATATAAGAGCAAGAAGAAATATCTGAAACAGTAACTACTACTTCCATTTTAAATGCTCGTGATGCTATTAAGCAGAATACCCTTGTAGGCAATGTCTCTCCTTTTCAGCAAATTGCTCAGCCAAGCATGAGGAAAAAGAAAAGTCGTCCAGAAATCCTGACTGGATTGTCAAAAGACAATCCAGTTTTGACAAAAGATTGTCAAAAGACAAGCAATGTAGTCAGGCTTCTAAGAAATGTGCCATGCCATGCCACCAGCATCTGGGTCAAATATTAACAAGTACACCATGTAAGAAGGAAACCCAAACTGGTTTAAGGAAATCTAGCGATGTTGTAAGGGAAAAGCATGGAAAGTATGCTGAACCAGCTCTTTCAACATTACATGCAACGGGGTCCAAGGATTCAAAATCATCTGTATTCTCCCATAATAAGGAAAACTTGAAGCAGAAAGTAAAGCATGAAAGACAGCACAACAGCAAGCAAAATAAATCATTCAAGTCTGTGATGGCTTCATCAGTTACTGCAGAACAACAGCTACCACAAACCATGAAAGCATTTAAAGAAAACTCATCTACAAGTGGCTTTCCAGACTTCACGTGGGCAAAAGGAAATCTGCCTGTAAGAATATTTTTCTTTTAATTGACCACATCAAACATTTGAGAACTAGAAAGATAATTGATATCAGAATGTAGAATAAATAAACTTTAAAAAAAACTGTAGTAGATGAACTCAGCATTGATAGTCTTGACCGATATGTAAATTTTGACAGAACAGAGGAAAACCTAGACATTCTGCCAGCGATCCCTCTGTTCCTTGCTTTCTGCTCGCAGTATTTTTATTATGCATATCAGGAAATTCCACTAGTAAAGATGAACTTGTCTGAGAACATGCCTAAGGTTTTTGAACTACACTGTGTCGCTTGAATTGTGAGTGCTTCTTTCAGTTTTTTTGTTTCATCTGATGTTATTGCTGCTTAGGTGCTGCTGCTAACCGTAGTTTGCAATGTTTTCTTGATTCAAATATTGCTTCCATATGGCTGGTGCAATTAGCCCCCCCCTTCTCACTGTAAACATCATAGATCACACTTTTGAAGGGATGAGATAGTTGGTGCTCCTGTAGATTTTCCCTGTAATTTTCATCCCATATGACACTGCTTTCTGCTCTAAACTGTCATATTAGAATTGTTGATCTTCCCTTCACATTCCAGAGGTAGGTTGAATTAAGTTGTGGAGTTGCTAAAATCATGGGCAGTGGTGACTGAGATCCTTGAACAAAATATGCTAACTTACTCTTCTTCTTGTGAGTGTGTAGCCATTATATATACTCTAATGGCTTAACAGGAATCATGTAAAATCTGTTAATAATGTATTTCCTATCCTTATTTTGTGTTAGTACACTACATTTTATTACTACTACTACTAATAGAATAAACATGATTAGCAAGATATGAGATTTAGCAAGAAGCAGACAGAGAGCAATAGGTTCTAGATAAAGTATTTTTATCCATGAATCTGGATTTGTGGGTAAATCCAGTAGTAATGGTGTATTTTGTAATCATACCTAAAAATAAAAACCACCACTCAGTTGCAGCTAATTTCTTATGGGCTTTTTTGGCATTTTTTTTCAGGAACTTCATGGGACTTTTGTATAAGTAACATACACCTATGTAACTAATATATCAAGTAGAATCAGTTTTTTTTAATTTGGGAATGATGGATGTTTCCACCGGAACCTGTTTAAACCTAATATTCTTTCTGTCATCCTATCGCCAAGTTTCTGGATAGGTTTAATTATATTAATACCAAATGTTATTCTGCTAGATGGTTATTAGTAGGCCACCTCAATTTTTCAGTGCTTTCTTTTTTAAATCCTAAAGTCGTTATTAGTCTGTTACATCAAACAACTTTATTTCATCATAGTATGGTTCTTACTCATAGTCTTTTGAGGTCTGTCTCACTAGATGTGTTGTGTAGTATCTCTGAATTTTAGTAGTTTTTCCTCATTCATACAGGACAGGGATGACCATCATCAGGACAGGTCATTACAGCTAGCTTAGTTGTTTCAGAGGTTTATTAGACAACCTAATATACTTTAGCAAAGCTACTTACTAGCATTAAAGACAGGATACGTAATTCACCTACTTACATATATGCCTCGTGTCAGAGACATTCAGAACAATGGTTTTCAAATGCTTTCCCATGATTTCACCCATCCTCTAGGCTAAAACCTGCTTTCATAGCACTTGAGAAGGAGGAGGTGGGGAAAAGAGAGGAGTAAGGTAAAAATAGTATTTTTTTCTAATGTTTACTTTTGTTCCTTAATAGCATCAAGTGGAAGATTGTTGTCTCTTCAATGGATATTTATTGCATTGAGACTCTAAAGTGAGTAGTTCATATAGCAAATCATGCTGATTCTGAGTAAATTACACTTTTTCCTGTGTTGATGCATTCAATCATTCACAAACTGCTGTGGTATCAGACCAAGGCAGTAAGAAACTCAACAGCGTCAAGTATAGATTCAGGATAATGGTAGCTAACCTAAGTTTTCTATTGTTACAGGTATTTCATTATTTTATGTGGTGTTAGATGCTAGCATAATGAAAGGTGGCAGCAAGAAACCCCACCCTTGTGTTGTTTCCACAAGTATTGCAAAAGTAACCAAGCTATAAATTTATGTTTTAGTGGCCACAAGAAGATTTTGCACATGTATATAAGTTTTATAAGCTCCTTTGACAATACCTGACATTGAGCCTAAATGTAAGAGCCTTGAAAATTTCAAGTCCAAGTTCAGTTCTAGATCATATTCTGATAATACATACATATAATTGGTATGAGTAAAAGTGAATAAACAAGTGCTCTAAAAAAAAAAAAAGATAAATTATTGTGCTTAGAACTATATCAGCTTGGAATAGAAAATCTCTGCAAAGTAGATCTTAACAATACAGATCACGAATCTCAGATTTTGAAAACACTAACTGTATGCAAAAACTTCAAATTTTCAGTGGAACACAGACGTTTCCAAGAACTTCTTTTCAGTCATAAGCTATTGAAACCTCCTTAACAATACCATGACTATACTTTTTTTTTTTGTTTGTGTTAACTGGTATTTCTTATTTTGCATTATTCCATAATAGAAAGTATCCCAGTTAATGAGCAAAGCTTCAGCAAACCTTTCAGCAAATGTAATCCAGGGACTAGTTTCAAGATTTCTGGTTATTTTAAAAATTACTAGAAGTCACAGTGCCTCTTAATTGCTTTTGTTTGAAAATACTGTAGTTCTTGAAAAGCAATAGTTCTAACAGTAAAAAACTTTTGAGCTTTTAAACTTAGAAAACTGTATTTCATTTTCTTAGAAGTTATGTCAGTACAGAAGCTGGACCGGTATTTAGAAGTAATTAATTTTTTCCACAGAAGGAGACAGCAGCAAAGTAACTCCACTGGAATACATTGTTGTTTAAACCAATTTATACTGACTTTGTTATTAGTATCCAAGTTCATTTTTATAGTGAGAGTGCAAGGCACTGTTGTTTCAAGAGAGTTTGCAAATACTAGTAGTTAAACTGCCTAAATTTTTCTGCAGTTTGTTTTTTTCTTTTAAAAAACTATTCATCTTTATTCAGTGTTTTTTAATACGTACAACTTCATGTGTGTTCTCACCTCTTCGACTTGCTTTTCACACGTACTCTAAAGTTAGCTGTCAATGCTAGATAATGTATTTGATTTGAAAACAGTGAAAATGTGTAGTGGATAGGAATTAAGAACTTCGGGTTCATGTGAAAACAGTATCTTCCTAAAAGTGCATAATTAAGTTATTAATATTTTTATGATCAATTTTCTAGTTTAGACAACTATTTTCTTACCCAGTGACTGACATAAATACAAAACTTCTCTCCTGCCGTAACAAGAAGCTGTTAATATGACTGGAATACAGTGAAAATAGAAGTACAAGAATTACAGAAATAAACAGAGACAGATAGGTTAAGTTTATTGAAAGGTTTTTAATCTTAAATTTCACATACTGGGTTTTGAAATATAGAGCTCTCTTCACAGCATAATGAGTAGAATCAACTTTTTTGTTAATACTTCAATGTGGTTGTTTAGAATTGTACGTCTCAGGCTTGTGTTTTGGCCACTTGGTCTTCAAGACGTTGTAGTGAAGCTGCTAGCAAAGCAGTGGTATTCTCAAGCTTGGCTGCAGACTGGCTCAGCTATGGAAGACTTAATGCGGAATGTTGTTTATGTTGAAAATTTAAAATAAATCCATTCAGTATTTATTTGTACACTTTTACTACAGTCAGAACTTACATCAGTCAAGTACTAGTGGCTTTGGGACATAACTTTTGCTAAAACACGGTAAGAATATGCAGCTTTTTAAAAAGAAACAGCTTTTGTTCAGCTTGGATTGCCTGGTACAGTATGAAAATTGCAGGGAGAAGAAAGGTAGTTTTTCATGTGACTTACAACAGATAAATACACCACAATTCTACAGGGTTTATTAGGTTCTTGTTATTGCTGAATGTATCCATGGGAATTTAACTGTGGCTTGCAGAAGAGGCTTGTTTGCCAGCAGCAGTGCCAGCGAAGCTCAATGCGTATTGTCTGTTATTTTAAGAAAACAGTATTAGGTTCTGGTAAGTTCTAGTATTGAACAGGACTACAATATAAATAAAAAACATGTACAGTAACTTTAGATTATTTAATATGATTCCTTAAAATTAACCCATACCTGTTACAAATTGAGACTCACTTTGCACAGTAAGAGGTCCTTAGATTAATTGCTGAAATGACACAACAATAAATGGAGATGCAAAAGCACAAATCTGTACTAAGAATGAAGACAAATGCAAGAGCATGAGTCACATTTTCAAATAGTTTAGCTTCTTTGGGAAACATGCAGTATTAAAACTGCATGAAAGATGATGCATAGGTAACTTTTGGCAAGTGTAACAGCACATTAAGTGAGAAAAATGTGTTTTGGGATATGTGAAAAGAGAAACATTTATTTGCATAAGCAACTAATTTCTGCAGTTTAAAATTAAGACTTGGAAGTGGAGGATTCCTCCTTACTCAAATAATGGAGTGATAATTAAAAGACAAACAGATTGTTTAAATAAGGTCACAGACAAAACCCAAGCCTGAATTCAGAAAGGCACACAGACTGCAGCAATATAAGCTGAAAATACAGTATAGAGTCAGATTACAGCAGGAACCCTCTTGTTAAGAAATATTTTTAAAGAGGGAGGTAAGAATTCAGCCATTCTCTATATACAGTTTTCCTTACGGTGAGAAAGTGAGGCACGGTGCACTTCATACCAACAGAAGAAGTAGGTAAGGAAATATGGCCACTTCAATGGCATTTTCAAGTATACCTTGTCTAATTGTATTTTAACCATACAAACTAAAGCAGCAAATACAAATCACATTTTCCTTCTTTGAAGCACAGGAGAGGTATGATTGTTTCATATTTATTTAGAATTCCCAGTCCGTATCATCTTGATTTGCAGTAATATGTCCAAGTTCAGTCCCAACTGCTGTTGAGGGCACTGCCAAGAACTCTGATCTGTTATTTTGAATAGGAGGTGGTAATAGAGACAGTAGTGAATTCTGTGTTTGTTCTTTTATCTAGAAAGAAGAAAAGTTAAACAAAACAGGGCTGCACATAACAGTCTACATAACCTTGCATCTGACTTCATTAAAAGCATGTGAAATCGGAGCCATGTTCGAATGTTACAATCCTCAAAATAACAGGATGAGGGGTTTAGCTTTTCTCACTCTACAGTAAGTTGAATTAGTCTTTCAAAACTAATTACATTAACTATGCAGTTCTGCTTTAAATTAAGAATATTAATCATTGTTCTTCTTAGTTAGGCTGACTTAAGTTAAACCAACTTTATCAAAGGTGAAATAGATTACTGTTACGCTTCCTCATACATCAGTACAATTTTGTTAAAAAAAAAAAAAACAAACAACAAAAAAAGTCTGAAGTAGATAAGCTGTGACATGATGTTTTTTTGGCTCCAGCTAACTTAATTGGAGTTGAATTACAAAATAGTATTTTGTGGCTTACTTCGGTTATAGCTCTGTCATTTAACAAAATGTAGTATACTCACCTGTTTGAAGAATGTATGCGAAAGCAAACTCCTTGCTGATGGCCTGGATCATAAAATGAACAATATAATTATGTTTTGGAAAGTAAAATACTGCTTTTGCAAAATGGGCTAGACTGACAAATCAATTTAAGCCCTGTGTTTTTTCATCCACAGGACAAACGTGAAGCATGAGAAAAGCAGCACAGAATTACTACATTCAGTTTGTAGTGAAGGCTCTACTAAAGATACCTGTTTATTTTTAAAGGCTTTTTCACTTTGCTCTTTAACAAGGTATTTAATGCCTCATTCAGAAGAGGCATATTACTGAAAACATATACTTCAGATTTTTGCTTCTTCTTGGACAATATACATGTTTAAAAATTCATTTAACTTGTTACAAAGTAAATTGATATTACAAGAAATTCAGGCCCGGGGGGTCAAACGACTGTTCATTTATCAGACAAGATAATTCTTAAATTACAAAACCAAAGGTAAGTGTAGTGTTTTGCATAGTACTTCTGGTCTGAAATTCTTACTTTAAACAGTATTCAACTAATTACTGTATCCTAAATTGTGGGCTATACTTGGTCTTAGATTGAAGTGACAGAGAATTATTTTTCACCAGAAGGTTACCTTTTCTCAGGGTCCTGTTGCAAGCAAAGTTCTACCAAGTTGTGGAAAGCAGGTGAAAACGTTTTGGAAAAGGGAATTTGTAGTCTTTCACTGGTCATTGTGTGTGTCATGCTCTCACCAATTCCAGAATCAACACCTGATCGGGAATTCTTCATCCTGGATTCCCCACGGGGGAAGGTATTTATATCCCAAGGACAGTATGTAGGACCTTTCAGCTTTTGCAGCAGCATCTAGTAGAAAGGAATAGAGTGTAAGAGTTTGACGGCTACCCAGAGCCATTCAGGCTAAGCTGCGAAACTCCAGGAATGGAAGGATTATTCAATCTGGAACGAAGCATGCACATTTGAAATAACAAAAAGCAGCCACCATTTCAGCACTAATAGCATTGGTTTCTTTGAGGAAAACAAACAAACAAACAAAAAGCTCAGAATCTTTTGATGTAGAATTAGAGTTTAACATCATACCTGAGTGCGAGGCATATCTTGAAAAGGAACAGATCCATTGGCTAATTCACATGCTGTAATTCCCACACTGTAAATGTCAGACTTCATATTATACCCAGACAAATCCTGTGAGAGAAAGAAAACTCTGCTGAATCACAGATGCCATTGAGCAGTGCTGACAGAAATACAAGTGTCTGTTTCAGGACAAGATTCCAATACCCTGTAATCTACATAGGATTAAGGCAATTAATTTGTGAAACCTCATGCTTTATTCAGAAATCTGATGGTTGTACTGAAGACAAGTTTTAGGACCTGCAGCAGTTTCCAGGAATGTCAGGTAAAGAGACCTAGTACAGCACCATCTTACCAACAGCTTTAAAACTGGTTCTCTTTAGAATTACAAATTCAGTACATCTGTGTCTTTCTAAAAGTTTCAATTCAACAGCTTCCACTGTACCTGTACAAGCAGCCTTAAGTTAGAAGTTGAGTACTTCCAGTAACTTTGAATAGGAAAAATGAAGTGTAATTTATACTAACCTGTCTCAGTAGTTCAGGGCTCAGCCAAGGAAGCACAGATGTACTAAACTGGGGGAAATCATATACCACCTTTGACTTTTGTCCATTGTTAACTAAACTGTAGAGGTTGTTTAAGCCAGAGAGAGAAACCAGCCCATCCCCTGAAATCAGAATGTGGCTAGCTTTAATATTCCTGTAACATAAAGTGGTAAATTTTAGTTATAAAAATTACTCAAAGCACTACTAGAGTAGAAAGGCTTTCATGTTTCACTAACAAATACTGAGATGTTAGCGTGCCATTCTTTTCAGCAGATTATTTTAATGGAAGTTCTTCACTCAGTATGAGTTGTCTTTTTAATACAGTGCCAAAAGAAAGGACAGCTGATCAGCAAGAAAAAACTGCCAGAAACAGAAATTGGAGAAGGGCCCTCCTTCCCTGCAAGGGGTGTAAATTAAGGAAGCCCTTTCTACAACTCCTATTCTCTTGCGTTTCGGAGAGACAAAGCCAGACAGATGTAACAATTGGCTTTAAAAAGTGCATGAATACCATTCTTGTTAAGCTTCTGCAAACTTGGTTTTGCTGTATTATTGAAAAAAATTGCTTCTGCACTGTCTGACATAAGGCAGCATATAGAAAAAGGAAGGAGACAACATTTAAGCTGAAAATGAGTTTTGAAGTGAAACTAAATTCTTAATAAACTGCATGCTGTGATCTGATTCTTAACTATTGACATTCTCCTACCTGTGAATGTAGCCATTCTGGTGCATGTAATTTAATCCTCTGATTGCACCAAATAGAATGTTCCCTATCAAAGCTTCACTCATTCCTTCAGGAAAGTAAGTATTCAGCAGGTGTCTAGCTGAACCTGGAAGTGAAAAAAAACAAACCACCTACCTGAGCCTAACAAGCCTTTTTCAAGTTACTTGTCTATGCTTGCTTCACTGTATACACACATCAAGTAGCATTCTCATCTTTATATTGACTGTGGTACATCGAGAATAGATGTAACTGATGCATCCATCAGGCAAAAATCACACTGAAGTCATGCATCTGTTAACTGAAAGCCTATGCCAAACCTGTATTCAATCCAGACAAGTTTTCTGTTGGCAAAATTCAAAGTTGCATAAAGTCAAATGCATCTCCCAGTTATCATTCCTCACGTGGTGGGTGTTAGGACTAAGGGCTATTTAATGTGGTTCAAATACCAATCTTCACTGGGGTGGAAGATTATGTATAGAAGACTTCTCTAAATAAATCGTTTGTGAACATTTGTTTTTTTTCTACAAGACAGGAGATGCTTAAAGAAAAACCTCTCATGGACCATGTGGTCCAAATTGTATCAGCACTTTTTCCTATTCTGAAATTGCAGTTAACAATTCTTACCATAGGCCATGAATGGGGAGATGACCCAAAGCCAACTACCAGCTGTAAACACTGTCCAAAGCGTCATTATATTGGGATGCTGGAAGAAGTGGGATAAAACCACCTCATTCTATGGAATTAAATGAAAGTGGATGTGTTAACCACAAGACAACAGTCTTACTAAGAGCATTAACTACATCAGTAATCAGTAGAAAGAACTGTTCCCTATTTATACAAAGTTGCAGGTGATGTGCACAGCCTGCAATAGAAATGTAAATAACTTGCCTATAAATGCATTTGTCTGATGTAAATTTAGTTTGCTCATAGTCCAAAGTTTTGGTGTTAAATACAGAGTAGAGAACATGTTTGAAAGAAAAAGTTGCACAATTACAGAAGTCTTTCTAAAGCACTTGTCATCTGTTTTCTTCAGAAAGCAACCCTTAAATTTATACATGATATTCTACTCCTTTGCAGGAAAAACTTGACTGAAATGACCCAGGACAAACACAAAGGCTATCTCTGTTTAGTAGCCTCATATATGTTCATCTCTATCTTCATCAGACTTGTGCAGAAATGCTGTTGCTTTACCTGTAAGGCTTTCAAGTGGTCTTCGGAGCAATTTTCTAGGTCTGTGATCCTTACAGCAACTTGCATGCCTGTAGGCGTATGCCGTGCAAGGTAGACTGAAGTTAAGTTGTTGAACCTCCTTCCTGAAACCAGAAGTGGCTACCTTAACATTGGAAAATATAATAATCCACCACATAATCTCCTTTATATTTAGAGATAATTTTACAGTTCTAAAATTACAATTGATAGCAGCATGACCTTTTCTTTAAGAATGTCAAGAACTTAAGTAGTTGCAGCAAAATATACCCAGCAAATCAATTAAAGCATGGCTTGGCTATTTTTAGAACAACTAAAAGTGTTTAAACATTTGTCAGTATGAATTATACATTTGAATGAACAACACTTTTATCATGTATATTCACATAAACATATGCATACACAGTAGGATTCAGGGCAGCCACCCTTAGGACAATCAACTCCGGTAGCCAAGTGACAAGACATGATGTTCCACATATCACAGATTTAGAAAACTGATGCACAAACATCAAGTGAAAAAAAAAAAAAGGTAATTGTTGATTTGTCTTAAGAACACAAGCAATAACTGAAACATGAGCAATGTTCTGCACTTTTCTCAACTAAGGAGACACAAGAATAGTCCTAGTCAGCTGGTAATACATTTTCCAAACGTAATATTTACTGCAGTTAGCAATAACACATTGAGAGCATGCATCTCATTTTAAATGGAAATATTTTAAGGTACACTTTTGTTACCTATTTCCAGCTGGAGTTCATAGTGAGAGACGTTAGAAGAGCAAAATACCATTTCATTCCTTCCTGTAGATGGGGGAATCCAGGCTAGATCAGAATCAGCCTGACAGCGAGGAAAAACAGTTCTCAAAATTACTATGTCATTTTTAAACATGTACATGTTTAAAATTAACGCAGAAATAGCATTACTTAGAATGCTGAGATCAAGTACTCAAGTCAGAACATTCAAGCTGGTGCTTCTACCATTACACTGAGACTTAAGTTTTATGAGCTACTGGGGTTGTTTTTTGTGGGTGCGTGTTTGTTTTGTTTTAAAACAGTACAAGATCAAGAGTAACACTTAGTCACCTAGAGTCTTCTTCCAAAGTGGAAGCCCAAAGCACTCTGTTTATTTTTGCTGTTAACGTTTTAAGAAGTACCCCCTAATGAGATTATTTTTAATATGTACCAGGTTTGTATTTAACGTTGCCAGTTAATGTTTCTATTTTCTTCTTACCAGGCATTCATGGACGCTGCTCTGAGATAGCTCTTCTGGTCTGATTGATTCAACTGGTGTACGTAGAATACAGGAACAGTCCTCAAGAACAGAAACAAGTCAATGTTAGTGGAGTTGCTGCAATTTATTAAACATGGCAGTGAGACAACATCAGAAGTAGCCCCTATAAGCAGGAGTTCAGAAAGTTTTCTGCTACAAGGCAGGCAAGCAAGAGGTTAAGAAACTGCACAGAGCACATACACAGCAGACCTAGAGAGAAGAGATACTAAACAGTCTCCTTCACTGAAAGTTGATACATCTCAGCACTGTGGAAATCCCCTCAAGCAATACATTTCACCAGAACTTCTTCACATTAAGGTATGTCTGTGTAATAAGGAATTTCTGCCAAAGATTTTTAAATACAAACTTACCAAACAAGACATGGAACCACTTTAGATCCGGGGAAAAGTCATATACACCCATTTATCCTAGAAAAATTAAAGTAGCAATTTAAGCTTGTACATAAACCTGTGATAAATTTAAGTCTCTTGAATCACAACGGTGAGGCATTCCTCACAGTTAACATGTACCCAAACCCCCAAAACTACAGCTCTGGGAAAGCCTGCTTCTATTGAGCCTTTAAGCAACATACAGATTTCAAACTCCATACTAAAGACATGCAATATAAATTCCAACTCAAATTTACTTTTTGATTCATAGGTTTAGAGATTTTATCACTACTTCTGAACAAACAATTTAATTGCAAGTTAACTGTATACGTGCAGAAAGTAAAAAGGAGTGAATTCATGAATCCCTGGCAGTTTGTAGGAAAAAAAAAATAATTGTCTGTTGTTTTAAAGGAGCACAGCTGTGCTAGTCAGACCTCGGCTCAGCTGTGTGCAGCTGAACCAGCTCACAAAAAAAAGCAAGCCAGAAGCAATTACACTTTACATTTCACAAGCAAGAGAGGAAATACTATTGTAAGGGACTTAAGTTAAAAAAAAAGAGGGGAACCAACTCAGATAATTTTCACTTTACTTAGGCTACAGAATCAGCATTCAAACTCCCTTACAAATCAGAGCAGCCACCCTGAAAGTCCTCCAGCAGACTTACTTTCTATCTGATGCTTTGAAAGCTTAAGCAGCGAGGAGAGATGACTATGTCTAATATGCATATCAAAGCTTCTGAAGTGCAGAGTGGGACTAGCTAATTTACTTTAGCTGCAAGCAAGTCTTCTACCATGATGAATCCTACTTGCTGGCTGACATAAAGTCAGCTACAGGAGGTAGTTCCATATTAATATGTAATTATTGCTTGATAGTTAACTTTAAAAAAATGAAGTACTATATCAGAAACCAATCAATTTGTTTATCAAGAACTAAGCTTGATTATATCTCACATTTAAATTATGTATGCTATTTCATCAATGCAATGCTCTTGACAAGCTAATAAGCTCCCACCACCCCATCCACTGCCAAATATCCAAGCCACTCCCAATCCCTATTTTTTTACCCTGAAAATCTCCTTGAAGTAAAGAAATACTATAATTCCTTATTAAAGATGAAAAACAGAGACAAAAGGAGATCCTTAGTAGGTATTTGGCACCTTCAGAGGATCAGGGCTTGACTTACCCAACTTCACTGAGGAAGTCTGAGGCGGAGTAGGAAAAAACATATGCAGGTGCTTCAAGATACTGGCCAGCACTGTAATGGCTATGGCATCCCTCTCCTACATGGAAAGAAGATACCTCACTCCATTGTACAAGAACATTTGTTCTGTTGCTTGGAATACAAACCCACAAAAGCTAAGATGGAGAATAAAGTCTTAATAACTGTGATAAACTAAAGTAAAATCATTGTAGAATTTGTTGAAAGGGCTATAGCCAGCCAACAGAAACATCCATGATCTGCTTTTGTTCAAATAACATTACATTTGTAAAATTTTTATTTTTGTTTTTCTTATGTAGTTTAACATTGCTTCCATTTTCAATACAGTTCTGGATCGTGTCCCTACATAAACCTTTTCCCCGTTTCCACATTCTTTCCATATCGCAGGCTTTTTTTTTTTTTTTTTTTTGTACTACGGATAGTGACAGTACGGCACAGCTGAACTGACACATTTCATCCCAGCTTGGCCAAGGCTTCAGATGTAGGGGAGAAAGAAAAACAGGAGGACGTGCCCGTGAGCCGGGGGAGCGCGGAGGCTCCGCAGCCCAACGCTCAGGTACGGCGAACGCGCGTTACTCGGGTCCCACCGGCGCCGGGCTGCAGCCGCGGTGTTTGAAGCGACCGAGGCACCTCCCGGTCGTTTATCCCGAGTTAAGCGACCGGTCCGTGACAAAAGTAACGGACCGTAAGGGAAGGACGCCCCGCAGGCTCTCCCAGGAGAACTCCTCCCTCGCTCCGCTGAACTCGTACCTCGGCGCCTCCGCCTCCTCCCGCGCCAGGCGGCGGTTTAACGGTGCCCTCGCCTCCCTCCGCACCCCCACCTCCC